GGGGGGGGGGGGGGGGATCGGAGAGGGTAGCGGATGGACTGGGGGATGGAGAATGGTAGTTATCGGCATCATGGGATGGGTTTGGTGCTGTACTGGTCTTCACTTGTCCTGTGGCGTCTATGGCCAGTGTGACGACCTGATGACCTGACCTGATCATATCATTGGCCCTGCAGCGACGCCATACGGCTGACGACGCGACACGCTGCTGGCGCTGACACAGCGCGAGAGATGGACTAGTGGAGAGAGCCGAGAAGGTGAGTGGGTCACACATCACTCTTTGGCATATCCCTGCAGCATGATCCTTGCAGGTGCTGTACTGGTTGCCGGCGGAATGGTTGCGCTGGTGTGGCCGGGCGGCAGTGGGTTCGTTGCGGCGTTGGTTGCGCTGGTCGGTGTGGTGCTTGTGGCAATTACCCTGGTCCGGCGCCAGCTGTACGATGCCGAGGTGGGATCGGGACGGGCGCTGCCGCCACCGCCAAGTAGCCGCCCAAAGCGAGTGGCGATTGTGGGCGGAGGGGTGTCTGGTTTGGCTCTGGCATACTATCTCTCGCGTGATCGCGAGCATCCGCTGGAGATTGTGGTGTACGAGGCCGGCGAGAGGCCCGGCGGGTGGATCGGCTGGTCGGACATCGGGAACGAGTGCTTGTTTGAGGACGGGCCGAGGTCGCTGCGCCCGGCCGGTGGCGGCGTCACGACCATGGCGCTTATCGACGAGCTCGGCCTCACCGACAAGGTCATGGTCGCTGACCCGGTCTCGCGCAACCGGATGCTGTACATGGACGCGGCGGCGGCAGAGGACGAGGGGAGCAAACCAAATGCTGGCGAGGCACGGATGCACGCGCTGCCGCGGTCGGTCGTGGGCATGCTCACCTCGCCACTCATTGCGCCACTGTTGCCTGCCATCGCGACCGAGGCGCTGTTGCCGCGGGCGGGCCCGCCGGTCGAGAGCGACGAGACCATTGCCGCTTTTATCAGCCGCCGGTTCTCGCCGCGGATGGCGCGGCTGCTGTTTGATCCAATGCTCCTCGGCATTTTTGCCGGCTCCTCGGCGCGGCTCTCGATTCGCGGCGTCTTTCCGCAGATTGTTCGGCTGGAGGCCATCTACGGCTCGGTTGTCCGCGGCGCAATCGCAGAGGGCCTCATTTCGTTGTTCCGCTCGGCATGGCAGACACTGACTCGGGCACAAGCTCCGTACCGCATTCCCGGCGTATTTTCGTTCCAGCCGCGTGGTCTCTCTACGCTCCTTGACGCGCTGGCCGACGCGCTCCCACCGGAGACGACCCGTATCGAGCTTGGCGCCCGTGTTGCGGGCGTCTTCCGCAACGCCGCCGGCGCGGCAGTGGTAACGCGGACACTGGCCAGCGGCGAGGCCGACAGCGAAACGTTTGATCATGTGTTTGTGGCGACTGGCATGCGTGGCGCAGCGAGGCTAATCGCCGACGCTGCGCCGCAGGTGGCGGCCGAGCTCAACGGAGTTGACCACGCATCATTGGCGGTGGTCAACCTCGCGTTTGAAGGCGAAGTGCTTCCGGCCGACTACCGCGGCTTTGGCTATCTTGTGCCGTCATGGATGGGCGAGCCGGTCCTCGGAGTCATCTTTGACTCGTGCACGTTCCCGGACGCTGGTCCGCGGCGGGACGTGACTCGTGTGACAGTCATGATTGGCGGGGCAGTTCACCGTGGGTGGGAGGCGAAGCACGTCACTGACGACGATGTTGTCGCGCTGTGTCTGGAGACGCTGGCGCGACAGGTGGGCGTGAGAGCGAGTCCGATTGCGACGCGTGTGGCGCGCCTCTCGCACGCTATCGCCCAGTACGAGGCTGGGCACATCGAGCGGGTGCTCGGCATGCACCACGCCCTCGCTGAGGCTCAGCTCCCGATCACGCTGTTGGGCAATGGCTACTCAGGCATTGGCGTCAACGACTGCATCGCGGCGGCTGCCGAGGTGGCGGCGCGAGTTCTCGCGGCGCCTTGGACGAAGGATAGTGAGTGAAGAAGATCGTGTTTAGGGTGGCTAGAACGACTTCTTGAGCGACTCGATCTCGTTCTTGAGCTCGGCGGGGAGCTTGGGGCCAAAGGTCGAGGTGAGGTACTCGTCGCTCTGGTTGATCTCGCGCTGCCAGGCGTCGGGGTCGACGCGGAGGAGCTCGGTGAGCTCGTCGTTGGTGATGCCGGCGAGGCCGTCGGTGTCGAGGGCATCAGGAGTGGGGACGTAGCCAATGGGGGTCTTTGCGGCGTTGTCGGTCACGCCGTCGGTACGCTCAAAGATCCACTTGAGGACGCGCGAGTTCTCGCCAAAGCCCGGCCAGATGAACTTGCCGGTCTCCGGGTCCTGGCGGAACCAGTTGACAAGGTACATGGACGGGAGCTTGGCGCCCTCGGTCTTGCCCATGTCGATCCAGTGCTGGAAGTAGTCGCCCATGTTGTAGCCGCAGAACGGCAGCATGGCAAACGGATCGTGACGGATCTCACCGATGTCGTCACCGGTGGCGGCGGCGGTCTTCTCCGAGGCGACCGACGCGCCCATGAGCACGCCGTGGTTCCAGGAGAAAGCCTCGTGGACAAGCGGGATGGTGGTCGGCCGGCGGCCGCCAAACATGATGGCGTCGATGGGCACGCCCTCGAGGGCCTCAAAGTTCGGGTCGAGGACCGGGCAGTTGGCGATGGGCACAGTGAAGCGCGAGTTGGGATGCGCGGCCGGCGTGTTCGACGCCGGGTTGTGCGGCTCGCCGAGCCAGTTGGTCATACCCTCGGGGGTCTCTTCCGTCATGCCCTCCCACCACACGTCACCGTCGGCGGTCATGGCCACGTTGGTGTAGATGCAGTCGCGGTCGAGCGAGCGCATGGCGTTCGGGTTGGTCCCCATCGAAGTTCCCGGCGCAACGCCAAAGAACCCGTTCTCGGGGTTGATGGCGTAGAGCTTTCCGTCGGGGCCAAACTTCATCCAGGCAATGTCGTCACCGACGCACTCGACCTTCCAGCCGGGCATGGTCGGCTCGAGCATGGCAAAGTTGGTCTTGCCACACGCCGACGGGAAGGCGGCGGCGACGTACTTCTTCTTGCCCTCGGGGTTGGTCACGCCAAGAATGAGCATGTGCTCGGCGAGCCAGCCCTCGCGCTTGCCCATCGCTGACGCCAGGCGCAGCGCAAAGGCCTTCTTTCCGAGCAGCGAGTTGCCGCCGTAGCCCGAGCCGTACGACTCGGCGAGGTTCTCCTCCGGGTAGTGGGTGATGTACTTGTTGTCGGGATCGCACGGCCACGCGACATCGGCCTTGCCGTCGGCGAGCGGGTAGCCGACCGAGTGCATGCACTTGACAAACTCACCGTCGGTGCCGAGGGCCTCGAGCGGGGCCTTGCCCATGCGAGTCATCAGCCGCATCGACGCCGCCACGTGCATCGAGTCGGTCAGCTGGACACCAATGTGCGAGATGGGCCCGCCGATGGGGCCCATCGAGAACGGGACAACAAACATGGTCCGGCCGACCATGCAGTCCTTGTACAGGTTGGCCATGGTGGCCTTCATCTCGACCGGATCGCGCCAGTTGTTGGTCGGTCCTGCGTCCTCCTCGTTGACGCACGAGATAAAGGTGCTCTCCTCCGAGCGGGCCACGTCGCGCGGGTCCGAGCGGGCGAGGTACGAGTTCGGGCGCTTGGCCTCGTTGAGCTTGAACATCGAGCCGTCCTCGACCATCGTCTCCATAAACGTGGTGTACTCGCCCTCGGACCCGTCGCACACATGCAGCGCATCCGGGTTGCACAACCCGGCGTAGTGCTCCACGTACTCAGCCAGCGCCTTGTGGTGACCAAGCGCGCTCTGAATGGCGCCCGAAACAGCAGACGCCGAGCGGACCGAACCGAGTGCCCTCCCCACCAGCGAGGGCGTGATGTTGAGCGAAGTGAGCGTGCTGTCCCATTTCCCCCACCCACACGCCCACCCACGTGCATCCACAGCCAAAGCATCAGCCACAGCAAGTAGTGAGTATTCCCCGTTCCCCTACCCCCCTTGTCATCCCTTCCCTTGTGCCCCCCCCCCCCCCCCTCCGGCAACGCCGTGGTGACCACGCCCGGCCGCAACGACGGCTCAACCGGCGCCAACGCCGAAATGCTTTCGTCGCGACCTTTGACGTTGCTCCGCCCCCGCCGACAACGACTCCCCTGCGCCTTCGCGAGGACTAACTTGCACTAGCCGACTAGGAGATCCGGCTTCGG